CTTCTACAATTTAATTAAATAATTAATATTAATAACACATTATCTACTAACTTCGTTCCAATGTTCACTGCCGTCGTTGAAATTCATTTTTCTTGCAACGAAACAAAACTATTTAAATACAGCTATTTTTCGCTGAAGTTGAACCACTTCGAACTTCAAGCGACAAAACGACGAGACGGTAACTTTATGCGCGTCGATCGAGGGAGACAGAGTGGGGGAACTGTATCCAGCGCTTTGACGCTGCATGAAATGGCACCTTTAAGGTCCCATTTCATTGACGCTACGATTTAGCGTCAAATATAGTCACGTGACAAATATAGTGACTAGGGCTGCGTTCAGAAACGTCACCCGAATGCACCGGTGTATCATTTTATCCTTGTTTAACATACGGTGAGCAACAAGGATAGAATAATACGCTGGAGTACTCGAGTGGTGTTTCTGAACGCAGTCCTTGCGACACCCAGTCACACCACGGCACACTGAAAAGTTGAGACGGTCTCAACTTTTCCCCCCCTACGTCGAGAAGTCACTAGAGAACTCATTTGCCGCTGGTTTCTAGCGTCAATGAAATTGCACCTTAATAGTACCCTGAGGCTGGTATTACATTTGTCGTACGACAAAGTTTTTAAGCGTATTGATTGGCTGAAGGATAGTAAAATTCTCGAGTATCTAGAAACTTACTATTCAGCGGCCAATCGACACGCTTGAAAAATTTGTCGTACGACAAATGTAATAGTACCCTCAGACTACGGATTGGGATTGGGATTAGATTGAAATTTAACCAATCACAGTAAAGTTTACTAATCTCAAGTTCAGTAACTTTTAAGCCTATCACACAATGCCAGGCAACAAGCAATAGGAATAGAGAATAGAATTTTTGACGCGTTGGATTCGTCGGAAATTTTCATCCAACCAATCCAACACGTCAGAAATTCTATTCCCTGTTCCTATTGCCTGTGCTTTCCTATTGTGTGATAGGCTTTACTCTGATTGGTCAAATTTCAATCTAATCCCAATCCCAATCCGTAGTCTGATACGGGCTTCACTGTCTTGTTCGCTCTTATAACGACCGTGTTTTAAGATATACCACATGCTTAGTATTAGGACGATTATCTACCAAATGTTTCTCTTTAGCTACCTGCGCGGGAATCGCGATAAGTACCCAGTGAGAAATGATTCGTCGATCGATGTCGAAATGATGTCGAATCGACATCGATACCGTCAAATTGACGTCGATTCGACATCGTTTCGACATCGATCGACGAATCATTTCTCACTGGGTAGGGCGTGCGCGCTTGAGAGAGAGACGAGTTTCCGCGCAAAAAGGCTCGGTGGTAAGGTGAGCTCAAATCCCGACCGTCTCGCAAGGGTCGCACGGGAGGCATTCTATTCTATTCTATTCCTTTCTAAAGGCCTGTGTCCACGAACTTGATCCAAGCTCTAGTTCCGAGAAATATGTAGCCAATGAACTTGTAGCTTTTATGGAATAGCTGCGAGTTGATTGGCCACACATTTCTCGGAACTAGAACTAGGGCCAAGTTCTAGCATCGTGGACACAGGCCTTCAGACAAGACAAGACGAGACGCAAGACGCAAGACGCAAGACGCAAGACAAGACAAGTAGAATTATGATGTAGAATTTAGAATTTAGATAGATGTAGAATGATGTAGAATTTAGAATTTAGAAAGATATAGGAATGATGTAGAATGATGTAGAATTTAGAAAGATGTAGAATGGTGTAGAATGATGTAGAATTTAGAATTTAGAATGGTGTAGAATTTACAATTTAGAATTTAGAAAGATGTAGAATTATGTAGAATTTAGAATTTAGAAAGGTGTAGAGTGATGTAGAATAATGTAGAATTTAGAACATGAGGAGAGCATGATCAGCAAAGAGGTGGCACTATCTAAAATTCCAAGAATTGAATTTCCGAGAATTTCCAAATTCAAATCGCGAAAATCGAGAATCGAGAAAATGGTAAAGTATCAGGAGAACATGATCAGCAAAGAGGTGGCACTATAAAAAATTCCAAGAATTGGATTTCCAGAATTTCCAAATTCAAATCGCGAAAATCGAGAATCGAAAAAATGGCAAAGTGTCAGGAAAATATGATCAGCAAAGAGGTGGCACTATCAAAAATTCCAAGAATTGGTTTTATACTGCTTAAGTTTTTTTCGTGTGATTGGGCCCTTACAGTTACTCAAAAAGTAACGAACCGTTACTTTGCAGTTACTTTCTTGCAATGAAAATAAAAATATCAAATCTGCGTTTGAATTGTAAAGTGTCGATAAAAATGTTTATGTGCAAATGCAAGGCCCAATGCGATCTGTGGAGGTTTAAAAAATATATAAAGTAACTATTGATGTAACTGTTAAATTAGTTACTTAAGTTATCGAAAAAATGTAACTGGGTAAGTTACAGTTACAAATGGGGAGAAAGTAACGAAGTTAAATTAGAGTTACCAAAAAAGTAACTGTAACTGCAACTTCGTTACAAGTAACGAGTTACTTCCCAACCCTGAAGTTAACTATTAGTTAGCTTACCAAGAGGTAGGAAAAACTGGCCCTAAGTGAAATTTCAATCTCCCTAAATTGAAAATAATAGAAGACTAGCTCGACTGTTAAAGAAAGGACCCCCCATTGCCCCCCCTGGTCGATCCCGTTGGGGTCGGATCCGTGGTGCGCGTAACGTAGTAACACCTGTCGCACCACCTGTTGCACCGCGTCATTAAAGCCGCGTTCCAGCGTCCTAGTCGAGCGCGAAGAAAGCGACGGACGGGCGCGCGTGCGCACCACTCGTGCGACAAGATTCACTTCGTCTCTCCGTCTCGTCAAACTGGTCATCGCTTTCACTCACTCTCACTTCGCCCCGCGTTCACGAACGCCACTCGGCGTCCCACGCCATCGCGCAGTGCTGAATCTACTTCGTTGCGATCTCGACCCGTAAACGATCTTTCTCCTCTCGCTTTTATAGATACTTGAATATTTATCCCAATATGTGTATTTTACTCCCGAGTAATTTATGAAAATGTTTCTAAGATTGCGGATGATGATGTGTTCGAGCTGTGACTCGTTCTCTGCTTATTTGGAGCAGTAATGATTTGATTCCCGAAAAGTGAAAGGTAGTTCGAGCTCACAGCATATCCTTGCATCGTGACTAAGCTGAATATTACATTTGTCGTACGACAAATTTTTCAAGCATGTTGATTGGCTGCAGGATAATAAAATTCTCGAGTATCTAGAATTTTTTTATTCTGCTTAAGGCTAATATTGCATTTGTCGTGCGACAAATTTTTCAAGCGTGCTGATTGGCTGCTGAATAGAAAATTTCTAGAGACACTCGAGAATTTTACTATCCTGCAGCCAATTAACACGCTTAAAAAAATCTGTCGTACGACAAATGCAATGCCAAAGCGTTACGACTGGAACAGAGCGTTTTAGGCTATTTATTATTATCTACCTATTTCTTCTTAATCCGCGTGTATAAATGACATATAGATAAGAACTTAAGCTATTTCTTCAGTTTCTCGATAAGTGGCGCGATAGATACGCGTTCAATCCGTTTTCAACCACGACTGTGCTCGGCGGATCAGCCCGATTTTCCAACGGTAAAGCGACCGGTGAGAACCGGAGTCTTTCAATTGCGCTCGCTCCGGCGCCCGCGACTCCACGCGGGGGACTCCGCCCCTGCCGCGCTGCATCTCCTCCCACCACGCGCGGCCCCCGCGTACTGGTCGCAGTCCCTTTAAAATTTGAATCACTGTCGGTTACCGAAACCCGCCGTGACGGTGCTCCACGCGCGAGCGGCGCAAGTGCGCATCGCCATCCGTCTGGTCTGGTTGGGCAATCGCGCGCGAGGCGGACCCGCGAATCCGGGACCTGCGAGAGGCACGATCGGCGGGGGCGACCTGTTGATTTCCCACGCGGATCGTCGTGGCCGTGAGGTGAGTCCGTTTGGTGGGACTACGCGGCATATCGCCGGTGGGGAGACTCTTCTCGCGGCTCCGATCGGTCTCGTTGCAGCGCGGACCGACATCCGGCTGCGAGCGATGTCGGAGACGAGCGGGGATAACGGCAAGTACAAGTGGACGCCCGAGAGCACCGCGCTGCTGGTCTCGGTGTGGTCCGACCGGCAGGTGCAGAAGCAGCTCGAGTATGCGCCGCGGCCGCAGGTGATCTGGGAGAGCGTGGCCCGCTACATGAAGAAGAAGGGCTACAACGTCTCGGGCAAGCAGTGCCGGTCGCGCATGAAGCAGGTCCTGGTGTGCTACCGCGAGGCCAAGCGGGTGGGCACCCGCGCCGGCGTGGAGCAGTACTACGAGACCATCGACCGGGTGCTGAAGAACAAGCGGATAGACAACGTCAACGTCGGCGTGGACACCGTGGGTGAGTACGGAGAACGCGCTGGTCGCGGGACTCGCTTGATACGGCGCCTCAAAATATTTTAGTGCTATCGTACGGTGTATACATATATCGGAGTTGTTTCTCTATTATTAGACGCAACCGTCAAGTCGCCGCCGAAGGACATGAAGACCAACAAGAATCTGCAGATGAGGCTGAAAGCTCAGGAGCCTGTGCAGTCTCTCTTCCGGACGGAGGCTCTGTCTCCCACGTGGACGATGGGCTGTAAGGCGTTTTGCTTTTCTGTAGGGGATCTTGTTTGTCCGATGATGCCTGACTTGACGCTCTTTTCTTCCACGCAGACGAGAATGAGTATCCAGATTCACCCGAGTCGAACGAGACCATCATAGCCAAGCCGTACAGAGTCTTCTCTCCTACGCGGGACGTTGCCATAAACACCGGCGAGCGTTTCATTCAGATCGGCAATCGAGCGGTGCAGACAAATCCGATCGTGATAGAGAAGCCGATACGGGAGGACTATCGGCAGAACTTACTGGCTCCTGTTCCGTACGCCGAGATCCCTTTTCAGAACGCGGTGCAGAACGTGCAGAATCAGATCATTCAGGAGAACATGCAGCAGTATCAGAATACGCAGCAGCAAAGTTACACCGGGTGGAATCAGTTGCCGCAGCAGGCTGTGCCGGCCAACAATCGGCTCAACTTTCAGCAGAACGTGCGCAATTTGAACCAGCAGTACTTGCCGAACGGAACGGCGCAGAACAACGTGATGCAGAATCCCGGCGCGGAGAACATCGGGCGTCAGCAAAATCAGCTGCACCGTGGTGCGCTGTACGCGGATAATCAGGCGATGCCGCAGGAGCCGCGTAAAGTCACTTACGCGCAAAACCTGACGGCCACGTACCGGCAGTATCAGGACGTCGCGCCTCGTTTCGCTTGCATGGCGAATGGATCGCTGTCGCCGGACTACTCGCCGGACGTATCGCAGAACCTGAACGACGCATTCTGCCTGTCGAAGAACGACGACAAGACGCACAATTTGAACGAGACGTACAGCCGACCCGTTCACGCGGACAATCCCGCGGACGCGACGGTCGTGACGAACAACGCGACCTGTAACGACGACAGTCTGCTGCTGGAGTTTCTGCTGGACTCGCCCACTCCGTCGGAGAACGGTGGCAAGTCGCGGAACAGTGCCGTGAATACGGACGAGGTGCCGAGCGCACCGCTCAGGAAGAAGAAGGCGCAGAAATTGGAGCAGCTTATGCTCAACGCGATTAATTCTCAAAATGAAGTCGTTAATAAGGTTGCGCATTTATTTCTATTAGACCTTATCGTGCTCCTCTTGTGACCGTTACATTAATATATTTTTCTTTCTCTCTTGTTTTTAATCGCTTGTACACATACACTTAATTTCTCTATTATAATTTTACGTTACTTTGACTTTTCAGATCTTGGCTGCGCAGAATGACATGGTGTCGCGATTCCTCGACGTGGACAGAGATCGGCAGAACCGGCTCGAGAACAGACTGGATCACTTGCTGAACGTCGTCCACGCTACAGTACTCAACAAGAACGAAACGCCGCCGTCACCGCCAACGCCGCCGCCGATGCCGGAAACTGCGATCACCTCCTTGCTGCCGCCACCGAGGCCCGGAATGATCCCGCCCAAGTTAGATCTGGTGCCGCCGAAGCCCTGTCGCGTTCCTTGCACGATGCCGAATTCGAACGTGGAGTTAGTCAATCAGAATCCCATTATCACTCGACCCGGCGTCGTGTCTCCGACCAATCCAGGGGGTAGGAAGCTCGGCACAATATGGTCGAAATTGGGCCCGGTGTCCACGTCGCCGTTCGTGAAGGCTCAGCAGCGGCTTGGCTTTCAGCCGGTCTTCAACAATGACGTACGCACGAAATCGTCGGCGGAAAGGCGCATCATCAGGGAGATCGGCGGGCTGCGCATGGACATGCGTAGCTTGATCTACGAGACTGCGAAGCTGCTGGAGGCGGAGCGCGGCCTCGAGGAGAAGATAGAAAACGCTCGGCTGGAACTGGACATGGGTGAGATGTTAACCGCGCGCAGGAAGCTGTTCACGCAGCGAGAGCCCACTCCCATCATGATACTAACCGCGGCGTTCTTGGACACCGAGTGCGCCGTCTACGAGCAAGACCCGCCTTACCACGGCACCTGGGACTCGCGGAAGAAGGCATTCAAGTACGCGCGCCGGGACAATCTCCTGGCCGGACAGGGCGAGAGCTACGAGCGTATGCGCGAGTTGAACGCGGCGATACGACACAGTTACCCTGGCTGCGAGCCGTACGACACGTCGACGCCGGCGAAATTGCCGGCTAATGTCGCCGAGAAAGAAGCCGAGGTGCCGAAGCAAACTATTCAACAACTCGCGCGGCTCGTGATGAACAGCGCGCGATGGCGACATTCCGCTCCGCAGCAGCAGAGTTTAGCTCGTCCTGCAGTTCAACCGGTGGATCAACGCGCCCGGGATGTCGAGTACAACGTGACTTTCACCGCTCCGAAGGCGAACGCGCCTCCGCCTCCCGATGAACCGCTAGGATTCGTTAAGCCGCAGAAACCAGGCAGCCGTAACGAGGCAGCTTTCAACGGTGGACCGTCGGAAAATAATCCGCGTGGTCAATCCAAGTTTCCGATGGGCTTCACCACTACTATGTTAATCGCCAATGATCAGAAGAGCGCGACTCTACCGAGGCAGATGAACGGCGGACCATCTAAAGCCTTGGGATTCGTCGACAATCCGTTGACCGATCGCAAGAACAATGTTCGCTTCATGGACGAAGCATTAGTTGAGCTGCAGAAAATGTATATCGAGCGTCAGAACGCTGCGATGTCCGAGGCACTGTTGCCTTTCGTAGTGAGTAACGGTGATAGTGCGATAAGCGCGCAGAATCGCAACCTGATAGAGCGCTACGTGAACGATCTGATGACCAAGAAGTCGACTAGGGACAAGGACACAGACTCGGACAACGACGACGAGTATCTGGACACTACCACCAGTATGCATCCAACTTGCGTGGTGCGCAGAGGCTCATTGACATCGAACGGCACAGCATCGACAGAAACTGCTCATTCGGTGAAGCTCGGCAAAGCGGCAGCTAATCATTGTAGAATAAGTTAAGCGCGGGGGGAAAAAAGAGAGAAAGAAACTTATTTTTATATACATATTTTTCACTTGCGCGATCAGTCTTCCCGATAATTGCTCAATTGTATGCGCCAGGTTCCTCGTCACTTGTTACTTTATGACGCACATATTGTTTTTCGATCAACATTATATTCTGGTAATCGTAAAACAAGTAATTGCCTTAGAGTTCGGAAACATGAAAGCTTGAGTTAGCGATACGGCTTAAGGTTTAACCCTATTAATCCTTAAATACTAGTGAATATAAAGTTACAGGTGAATATAACGATACTACATCGTTTCCAAGCAGACTTAATCCTTAAAAATCTAAGATTTTTATAATACACTTAAGCGAATCGATATTTTTCAGTTGTCCTTGTAAAGAGACAAAAGATACATGAAAATTACTTGAATCTAATCCATTCAATGCGAGTACATAAGGATTAATGTAGATCTTATTAATAGTTTGTCTCTACATTGCTAATGTTGTATATCAATGAATCCAATGTAGTGACTATGTTATTACTATATAGACTTTTGAGGAATAATACATTCCGTAGAAGTATGTTATACGCGTACTAATAAGTTGAATCGAGCACACAGTGCAATGGTATCTATCGAGGCTTCTTTTGTCGATTGTTTTCATTGTTTAGATCTTATTATACAATGTTTATCACTTTTGTGTTATATAGTCTATGCATCTGCTATGCATATAGTATGCATAATTATGAGCAAATTCATCGATCAAGCAAGCTTCCACGAGTATCGCGCAAGGTTCAAGAAAGGAAACTTATATCTAGAATTCTTATGGGAGCAATCGTATTTTTATAACCATGACTTAAATTTAAACGTATGATTTTGTTATTCTGCGATATATGTTCATCGTCTTCGTTTCAATGTGTCAAACTTGCGACGTGCGAATTGAATTTCATTTATAAACAAGTGCCTTATTATTAATAAAGAATATCATCTATACGTATCAACTTGTACGTCTTGTACACTTGTACTCCTTATACGTCATATAAGAATTGTTAAGAGATCGTCGTCAATTCGTTGCAACAAAATTATTTTTATGCCACACTTATTTCAAATATCTTTATTCATCAAATTTATGTTCTGCTTACATAATATATATAGCAATAGTCACGAATAATATACGTGATCAATATTATAAATGCATAAAAATGTGCGCAGAAAAGTTTATCAAGCTGCACAATTACAGTAATTGTATAAGTACGTATTCCTCTTTTCGTTCGTTGTTACAATTACTTTTGTGAGGTAGTTTAAGTGCCAAATGACAGTGATAGTCGACGACGTTCCCGTAGAGGGAGAAACTTTGGAAAAAAAAGAGGTAGTTTAAATTCTAGCAGCACGAGAGATTCAGTTTTTAGGATCAGTAATATATCCAAAGAAAAGCGATGTCACGTCGCGAGCGCCTCTTCCTTCGTTCGAGGAAGTCTTCACCGTCTTCACTATAGTATACACAAATGGACGATCTATTTGGAATTCTTCCTCGTAAACCATAGCAAAAGTCTGTATCACCATACCTGTAACATAATCATTGTAAAGTACCGGAGGAATCTCCCCGGGGAAAAAAGACACATCCAATTTTATTTAATTGTATAAAAATGTCAGATTTGATAAAATTTGATCAGATCATATCCTAATTTCAATGCATCCATTTATAAGTATGTCAAATCAGAAGTGGTCAGATATAGTCAGATAGTCTGATTTGATATATTTATAAATGGATGCATTAAAAGTTGGATATAATCTGATTAAATTTTGTCACATCTGACATTATTTGATACAATTAGATAAAATTGGATATACAGCTTTTTCCCCCGGGTCATCAAATCCGCCTATCTGTGAGACTCCATCCAGAGATAGACGGACTCGATATATCATTTCTACCAGTATTTGATAGTATAGCATATTAGATATTATCTCATATGTTACGCGGATAATGTCTAATATATCTACTATTAGGCCTGGTCTACAACAAGTCGTTAGTCAGAATTATGTCTTTCATCCAGAACAAAAAGGATCAACATATAGTTCCGACTTCTAATTAACGACCAACAACTCGTTGTAAACCAGACCTTAGTATTTTCTTGCACTATTAATAATGTCAAACGAGCACATTGAATAATGTGATGCAAATATTTTAACGCTTAACACGTGGCAAGCATAACACTAAGGCGCGCATAGTGCATCAACTATAACTCAAGTAGAACACAGTATAAGCATCACAAAAAGCCGTAATTATGTTGTTGCCAGTGTGAAAAGTGCCGAATGTCGAATGTCATCGTATTGATACTTTAGGGCCGGTTTTCATCAGTGTCTCTTTCCAACTGTTCTCTTAGAAACAGACGAACAATGAATTAAACTAATTGTAAGATTAAAATTAAGCGACGTTGGTGAAACTGGGCCTTAGACGATTAGATTAATCGTCGATTTCGTAGCATTTGAAAGTTGTGTTTCGTCTCTTTCCTTTCAGTATACAAGACCTTCACATAACAGGGTATGTGTCATGGAAATTTTTGGAATAGATTCCAATCGTAATCATTCTGTTTTCCTTAGAAAATACAATAGAAATCTAGGAAATAATTAAACAATTTTCGATCGAAATCTATGCCGAAAATTTCCATGACACGTGCCCTGAAACGTAATTCTATCACTTGCAACATCCTAAATCTTATACCGCTTTAAATGACACAAGAGATCGTTTCATATAAAATTAATTATCTCTTTAGAGTTCGTTGCGGTTATATTCTTGGAGTTGGAGATTTTTGCCGCTTCAATTAAATAAGTATTTAAGGGAATATATACCTGAAGTGATAGAAATTAACATAAAGATGATATGTGAAAGAGATCGCGAAAAAGCAAACACTTATAAAGTATAATATGATTTCCTCATGCAATCGTTTTACATCATTCGTACATACATTTTTACATAAAATTCCGTTACTCGATTATTGTGTGCACGCACTGAAAAACAAATTTTCGCTACCGTAGCTAATTATGGTTTGCTAAAAATATTTTGCTGCCATAACTATGAATTTCTAAAGCACGGCAAACGGTTTGCTGTCGCACCTAATACAATAGGCACAGTAGCAAAATATTAGCTAACTAAATATTAACTGTCCATATTTTATAACTGAAATTTAGTTGCCACATGCAGTTTTTAGCTACGGCAGCCACATTTTTCTTTCCGTGCGGGTAGTTTTAAAACATGAAAAAACATAAATTTGAATAAGCTTTTATTAATTCTCTGGTAAAATGTAAAGATACAATTTCGAAAAGTCCAATTATGTCAAAAGTAAAACGATTATTATAAACTTCAATTACGTATCTCTTTTTACGTTAGGATGCAAGAAACGTTAAGGATCATTGCATCGCCAACTACCACAATCGTTCATAAGTTTATCAGGATTATTTCATTTGATTTGATCTCTAAACTATCGAACTAATTAAATTTGGTAACGTATCCGGCGAACAGCGTAACGTAAGATTCTTCTTGCGGTTTCGAGTTAATGACGGCATAGAAGAATGGATGATCGATATGAATTTCTTCGGGTGTCTCGCCGATAACAAGGGAATAATTCACCGTCAGGACTCCTGAAACAAATCATCGATTTCCGTAAGGCTTCATTTCCACTTTATTCTTTCGACACATCCCTCGTTCCATGCCTCGTGTTCTACGCATGTTTCTGATTCCTGCCGTATGTGATAAAACGCAACGAGGTAACTCGCTATTTTCATGCTGCATGCTCCATTTCCATTTGTGTAAAGTTAGTCTACTTTATAAAGGGAGTTAGAAAAATGGATGAATTCTTTGTACAAGAAAATTGCAGAATTATATGGGTGATTGCTACAGGATCTCGCAGAAACCTACACGGAGAGACCGATATGGTTGCCACATGTCTAATTAGGGTTGGAACAACCCTAATAAATAGTAATATGTACTTGGGACAGCTATATCTGTAGTTGTCGCACCCACATTGGTGAGATAATTAATGGAGACAACTGTATGCATTTTGTACAGCAAACTTAGTGGATATTGCAACACAAAACAATGTAGATGCCCCTACTATTTATACGGCAACATTTTCATTTTAGTTATTCTTGCTTTAGCCGGTCTTTCCGTGTATGCGTATGTATAAATTTGATAGTCAGAACAACTATAGTAATCGCATGATTAGCGCCGCGTGCTCTGTTACTAAAAAATATCTAATAATTTAGTAACTGCGATTCCCATGCAGGAGTAATTATTCGAAAATATTCTCTCTCTCTCTCTCTCTCTCTCTGCGCATAAAAAAATTACATGCTACATATGATTAAATAACTGTTGAAGTACAACACATGTCGATTTGCTATCTATTATCACTCAGTATTAAAAGTTTATGCTCTCTTAACTACTACATTTGTGTCGAGCTTCATATTTTTCGAAAAAACACCACTTTAAACGTCTGTAATTTATTACACAGTGGGTTTGACGACATACCCACCATGCAGATTTACGTTACTTTCGTTTTTAAGGTTTGACTTGATGCTGCAGAGGTAAGCATGATCCATTTCCCAAATCCCACCATCCCGACTACCGCTAAAACAATCATTTATTACTGTAAAATTGTTCATTATCGATATGGCCGTCAAATCTAGGAAATAATTAAACAATTTTCGATCGAAATCTATGCCGAAAGTTTCCGTGACACGTACCCTGAATCGTCATTCTATCACTTGCAACATCCTAAATCTTATACCGCTTTTAACAAGAAATCGTTTCATAACGTATCAAATTAATTATCTCTTTCGAGATCGTCGCGGTTATATTCTTGGATTTGGAGATTTTCGCCGCTTGAATTAAATGAGTATTTAAGGGAATATACAGGGTGGTCCAGTGATGAGTAGCTTAACTTCAGGGGCGTATTCCTTGGACAATTCTAAGACGAAACATCCATTTGAGTTTTTGCCGAAAATCGCTTCCCTGAGAAATGGCAGCCGTTTGAAAAATTTTTGTTTGGGTTTCGAGCGGGTGT